TGATATAACAGTAATGGCCACATTTCCTTGACATTTAGTGACATTTAGTGGCTTAGTCTTGTCCACATAATCCGAAACCTCTGAATTCCGGAAACATCTGAAATCCGAACTTTTTGACAAGTCCCATGGGTGTTCGGTTTTCAGAAGTTACACTGTACATGTATTTATATGTTTCGTTGGGTGAACAGTACTGAGGGGTACTGACAGAAATTGTATTGCGACATATAGTTTGACAAATACTTTATCACATTATATTGTAGCTTTCATGATAATTTGTAAACATGTTTAAATCAACAGCAACTTTATTCTTCATTACTATATCATGTACTGCAGATTTGAAAATGCTCAATAAATTCATTACTACTACCTATATAACGAGGAATTTTTTAACATTATTTCATTTAATGAATTGATTCTTTGCTTAAATTGTAATATTACAATTATCGATTATTTTATAGGTTTAAAAGTCTGGTCTTCCTGTGTCACAGGGGTCTACAGACATGCTTGGATGTTGATGAAGATACATTCCTCCGTGAATGTGTCTTGCGGAGGATATGGTGGACTGATCCAACACAAGCTGCCCAACGAGAAACGACTCCAGGAAACTTAACGAATACATTAAAAGTTACAAGTGAAGAATTGTATCCAAAATCAGGGAATGCTTTTCACTTCTCATGACAGTGCCGTTCTCTACCGCTACTGTCGAGAGATCGTTCTCTACAATGCGTAGAGTTAAATCATACCTTCGGTCAACCATGACAACTGAGAAGCTGTCCGGTTTAGGACTTCTGAACGTGTACCAGGAAAAAATGCCCGATGCTTAACGTATTGTCGTTATTTTTGCGGCTAAAAAAGAGAGAAGACTGGCTTTGATATTTAAAGTGTAGATTATAATAAAGAAATGTAAATGAATAAATAAATAAATATATAAATAAATAAAACATAAAAATTATAACAAAAAAGAATGAATAAATATATAGTATAAATAGTAATGAAGATAAAATTTTATCGTTTTTTGTTGTCATACGTTTAATACTTTTGAGTTTTGTATATTGGTTAAGTTTTAGTCAGGAAAATATTTCATTGAAAGATATTTGAGTAGCTATTATATGGCATTTCATTCTTTCAAAATGATACCTTATCGAATTATTTTCGGAAGGACGCCTCATGCAGCCTTCTACGTACCGTCTGCTTGGAAACCCGGACCTTCGCAGCATTAGCATTGTCATTTCGAAGAGTAGTTGCTGTCTGAAACCTTGCATGACTGACGTACCTGCACGACGTGATACCGATCCTGAACTGGTGTTGTGTTGTGACCTTTACCGGCCTCCAGCATGCCTCCTGGCGGGTGTACCATGTAGTCTGTATCTCTCCCATACTCTGGTGATGAAGGTTGCCCCTGCTGCTCCATTCCTACAGCCCTCCATTGCTCTGCTTGTCTAGAATGCCGCCTAATGTTAACATTCGCCATATCAATTTGACATATGTAAGATATTTAAGCCACTGAATGGCAATAGGCCGGTAATGTCGTCGTATAACAAAAGACATGTGATTGTACACCCCATCAAAAACATTAAAATATCGGGGTGTATGCTGTCCAAGTTTCCTACACGTGTGGTTACAGATTAGTCAACACGCATCCTCAAAACATTGCTGATTTAGAATTTTTAGAAATTGGAAAGAAATCTACTTAATACTTGTAGGATATAAAAATTAAAGTATGGTGCATAGCAAAAGTAGAGATGTTATAATTAGGTAATTTTGTATGACAAGGAAGAAGATCACGCAAATGAATATGTTTATATGTACGAATGAACAAATAATTTGGAAATGTTACAGAGAAGTAACAGATTTTAAACAAGAGGCGCTGATAAATAGACTGACAAATTATTCAATGTGTTAAACGGGCTAAATCATCAAAGTTTAATTTATAAACTCAATCTCTGTTTTCAATGATGAAAATTACCATCTCTGACAAATGTTTCTTCGGTATATTTAAAATTGTCCGATGAAATGGGTAACGTTTTTCGGGAACTCCGTGACGGTTATCACATAAACTCCTGACATCTTATTATAAGAACTCCTTTGTGTAACAGTTCCTTCGCCCCGTTTTTCTGGTTGCGATAGATCTTATGCGAAAGAAAAGATAATTAACAAATTTTCCTGTTAGGGGCCGTCTTGGTTGACTATGCATGCTGTCAATTTTGGCTTATTTACGCCTCGACAAGTCTAAAGCTTATGAAATAATGTTTTCTAGCATAAACTTATGCCCGATTTAATAAGTACTTGTGTTTATGCGTAGAATAAAACCTTACGGTTTATTTGTTTCAGTTTTTAACTTGATTATACGTAAAATACTATGTGATCACGTCAATTTTTTTATCGGCTTGGTTTTTACTGTTTGTGTTGAAACATGTTCTTGTAGTTGTTCATGAACGTCAATGTACATATTCACCTGTTTAAAAAATCGAGGATAAAATCGCCAAGACTTGAACTTAAACGCACTGGGAATGATTTATCGGATGATTATGTACAAATATGTAAAACAGCTATTATCATATGGATAGTCTTGATGTATCCAGTGATCTGTATATCTGTTCACTTGCCTTTGACCAATTGGTCTTTCAGTCGTGTCCTTTCAAATAAAGATAGGACATAGATTAAAGTTTGCGTGAATGAAAACTTCACTATTGTACAACTTTTTGACTGACAACAAAAAAAGCATTAACTTCTGTAAACAAGTTGATACGAGACAAAATCTAAATAGATAATCGATAAAAAGTGTGTGATACCATTATCAGTATTATCAAAATTTCTGAATCAAAATTTGTATTCAATTTGTCACAATGGAGTAAAATCATATTCTAAATAAACGGACCAAAACGTATCGTTTTTAAGATCTAAATCTAACTATGGATATCCAATTAAGGGATATATTGATTCTTTGATAAAGCTCGCTTCAGAAAAGTCGGAGTTTTTCTTCAGATACCCGCTCGTATTCAAACAATGCATGGATAAGTATCTGAGAGCTTCTACCAGTAAAATTAAAAAGTATTCATAAGGGTTAAATGTCGACACCGCGAACAAAACATAAATACATTTAAATAAAACAGAATTTATTCGATCGCTGCATACACTGTTGGTTTTGTTTTATTCTGGTAAAAGCAACAGCAGCACCAATCTCATCGTCAACGGACATTTCCTGGATTTTGTTTCCTTATAGAGAGATTCTGACTTCTTAATTTCGTGCTGTACTCAGTGAATTCTTTGATAATATTAACGACATTTTATATGTATGTATCTAATCTTAAGGACAAATAAGTGTCATGTATGTCTAAGCTGTTCCAGCTGACAAAGTGCAAGTCACGTCAACGCAATATGTTGCCTATATGGGGACATGGTCTTACGTATTTAAATAGGTGTACAACTAAAGATCCTAAAGCTTGCAGATTTGTTCATTCATTCCTTGTCACACAATATTGCGTTCATGTAGGGCACAAATATGCTGTCCTACGGCGAAGTGTCTAACATGAGGACATAGCCCTGCGTTTAAATACCCCATTTTAAAATTAAAACCTCTCTAGCGTGCATACTTGTGCACAGAACTAATATTGCTACTTGACCTTTTTGTTTAATACTTGTATTTATATAGTTTTCTTCCTATTGATGTAAATTCAGTCATTTCAAAGATGCACCTGAATTAGCCCGGAAGTAAATCTCCCTGTATTTGTCAAAATAGCACTTCTTTGATAAGGTCTGCGAACAATGCAAGGTCTATACTAGAAATTGGGGACTCCCTCAGTCATTAAACGGCGCCTTAACTTACAATCGATCAACGATGATGTAGAATTTCGATGACTGAATATGAAAATTATCTACGATTTAATCAAACTGACTCTCTTGTAATTTTGTTCTGATTAATGCTTCCGAGGGATCACTTTGTTTCCAGATTTTTATACTTAACAACAGCAGGTGTCAAGTGCTGTGTGGCAGCTGTAAAAAGTTGCCCCGTACTTCACTTCACATACACTTGTTCAAATTAGACAAATTCAGGAAGAATTCACTTAGTCTAGTTTTCAGTAGATTTCTGCGTAAAGTATTTTACCCAAAGATGGACATAGTATGTCTTTAAAATAACAACGTTTTTCAATCGTTTTGGGCTAAAAAATACAAAGACATTCAACTTATGATTAATTTCTCAGTATATTTCTATCTTTTGCAGATTTGCGTAATTCTGTTTTAAGTTCCCGACTAATCTATATAAGAATAAAACATTTTATGTTTTAAGACCGTAATGGAGTTCTGTTAATGCAAAAATAAGGCAATTACGGCTGATCAGATTCCATTACTTTTCAAATACATCTCCCATATCTGACAAGTACAGAGTTAAACAACTTGGTAATTTTCTGCATTTGCACATTTTTTCGTTTTCTTTAAGACGAAATGACTCCTCAAAATATATGAATGTTTCGTTAACAAGTCACAATTTCTTTCGATAGATGCAATTTCGTCAGTATTTTTGTCTTACGAAGCTTTAAAAAAGGTCCGCCAATAACTTATGTCGGATTAATTACATCTCTTAAATGACATCTCTTCTCTGACAGGTGCATAGTTGCAGCCATATAATACTTGTGTGTTGCTGGTGTGAAACGGCTTAAATTAGGGGGCTGCTTAACGATTTAAATCTTAAGTGGTCAATATTATAAAAATGACCCTCCTATATTTTCTTGCAAGTTGGGATTTTCCCAGAAGAAAATATGTTAGTTGAAGACGTTTTCAAACATCTCTGATAATTAAGTGCCTCTTAGTATACATTATATAAAAATCGCAAAGTTGATTCTAAATTCGAGCAATTAAAATCAATATAAGTTAAGGCTGTGTAATGACTTGACTCTTTACAAAGACTTGGAAAAAAGTGATTTTGATTATATTTTGATTTATCTTTAATATGTTGCAAACTTTGTTTTCGAATCATAATCCTAAAAATCAAATTGTTGCAGGTCGGCCATGGAGGCAACCAGATCAAGACTTCAAATGGCAAAAAGAAGTGAGTTATTTTTTCATTACTTTTCATTTTAAAATTATATATGTCTTGAAGCTATATATATTAAGAATAATATCTTATTTGTAAGCAATAAGTATCTTATGAAGCACTCGCTTTTTTCGGATCCCTTTTTGCGTAAATCGTGTTTGTATAATGTATAAATACTGGTTTGGCTATTTAAATTAGATATTTTGTGCATGTGTTGGTGTGTTGACTCAGGTGTTTATCACAAGTAAAAATGCAAATAATATTTCTTGATTATTTTTTTACTACCCAAATTTGTTGATTTTATCATATAAGTCAAAGAGAGCAACGTTCAGAAATTATAGCAATTCAGGTAACAGACACACAAATTGAACATAAACAAATGAGCAATACTGAATTACGGATTGTTAAAATGTGACAGTCAGAAAAGTGGAACATATATTTCCATATCAAAAGCAAATGAGGAAGTTAACGATGAGTAAACATAAGTATCACTCGGCATTGTTAAGATAAACCGGGACTTCTACTTTTGCTGATTTTGAAAAAGCATTCGATAGCATAAGTTAGAAATATATATTTAAAACTTTAGATCTTTTTTAACTTTGGACCAAATTTAAAAGCATATTTTACAATGTTTTTTGTCTGAGTCATTCCCTATAAAAAGGGGAGTACGACAAGGATGTCCATTGTATCCTTATATATTTATCCTAGAAATTGAACTATTGTCAATAGCTATAAGACAAAATAGGAATATTGTAAGTTTTAAAATTTTTGATGTTGAAGTTAAAAATAGCATGTTTGCAGACGATGCGACTACAATATTAAATGGTAAATCAAGCAGCTTTGAAGAAACTTTGAACATATTTGAACAATTTTCCTTTATATCTGGTCTTAAACTTAATTACAAAAAAATATACAGTTCTCAGAAAAAGTTCGCTTAGAAATCAACATGATTTATTCTTTTGTAGAAAAAAATACTCAAATACAATTTGGACCTCAGAATGTGCAAAAACATTAGGCATATTTTTCCATTCAAAATGTATTATTAATAACCAAACTAAATTACGAGAATAAATTAAACCATTTTAAAGAAGACATATATGGAAGGCAAGACGTTTAACAACAATTGGCAATATATCAATTTTAAAGTCCTTAATTATTTCAAAACTAACCTTAATAATATCTGTTCTTCAGAGTCCTCCAGAAGAAATTATGAAAACATTTACACAAAACTGTTTTGAATTTATATGGCACTCAAAAAAAGACAAAGTGCGTTATTAGGGATGTTATTATACAAGACTAAATATGGAAGATGAAATATGATAGACTTGCCAATTTTTATGAATTCAATTTAATCAAGCTGGATTAAAAGTATATTTGATGAAAATTACCATGGCTTGTGGAAAGAGATGATAAAGAAAAAATTACAAAAATAGGTGGAATCGACTTACTTAAAAGTAATTTAAACACAAATAATATGATGAATTTTAAAATCGAAAATACTTTCATAAAAGAATTACTACTGTCATGGAGTAAAATAAATTTTAATAAAAATCCACAAACTCTATTAGACCAAATAATATGGCAGAAGTCACACATAAAAAATAATGGATCTTTAATTCTTTTTCCAAAATGGAAATGTTGACATATTAATAAAATAAAGGATATTTTTAACACTGAAACAAAACAATACAATATAAAACCTTTCACCAGCTGAAACTTACTTGAAACTCCTGATACAGAAATATTCAACTTTTATAAATTAATTTCGTCAACACCCAAAGAATGGAAACGTAAACTACAAAAAAATAATCAAACTTCAACGCCTAAAAAAATAAGCACTTTCGATATTATAGAAAAAACAAACACGTCCAATATCAGTAATAAGTTAACACAGTTTCAAAAGCAAATAAGACTTTGTTAAAATAAAAAAAACAAAATCGCTAATAAACTGGGAAGAATGATTTCCTCAAAAAGAATTTCAATGGCAAAAATTTACGAAAACGTTTTTGTTTATTGCAAAGATAACGTCTTACAAAACTTTCAATATAATTTTTTACACAGGAATATTGAAACAAACAAATTTCTCCTTCAATGTAAATTAACCGAATCTAGTCTTTGTGTTTTTTTGCTGTATGGATGTTGAAAGTATAGAGCATCTATTTTGGGACTGCCAAACGGTACAAGTATTCTGGAATAATTTATTCAAATGGATTAATGAAATATCAATAAATGTTACTTATGACAATTTTACATCTTTCTTTCATGCTAAAGATAAGAAAACATCGTATATTTTTCTCTTTTCAAAACATTGCATTTATACCAGTAAATTAAAGAAACAAACTCTTGATATAAGTATCTTCAAAAGAAAATTTTTAAACAGATTAAAAATTGAAAGATTTTTTGCCTTACAAAATGATACATTAGAAGAATTTGAAAATTGCTGGATAAATCTAATTGAAAGTCCACGCCGTTGCACAGCGTCTGCACCGTTGTCGAGACGAAACAGAAAGTAGACGAATTTCGAGAAAAACAAATTACGAACAATTGTTGAAATTGCACAGATGATCTTATACATTTACTTTAATAAACAAGGGTATTTACTTCAATATAAGTGTCTCTTGTACGGAGATTGACTCAAAAATTTACCACTTCTCTCGGTTCAAATTTCGTGTACATTTATCTACAAACGTTTTTTGTATTACACTCATATATATCAAAATTAACATATATTGTGGACTTTTCGATATTGGATGGAAGCACCGTATCACGGAAAATCTGCACCGTTTCACGTACCCGACAGTGATAATACATGTTCTGTCTTATTGTCTCCATCGCACCGTCTTATTCTGTTTTACTGTTGACATCGTACTTTTTTTTACTGTTAATACTGTACTGTCGTGCTGTTAACATTCTACTGTCTTACTGCGAACAACATACTGTCTTTGTTAGTGATGACACCGAACTGTCTTCCTGCTTACACCGTACTATCAGACTGTTAATGTTGAACTGTCTTTCCTGTTAACAAAGCACTGTCTCACTGTTAACATCATACTGTCGCACATCCTAATATCTTTATGTAACACAATAATGTATTCCTTTCACCACCGCACTGCCTTACAACGTACTATCGTATTGTAACCATCGTTCTGGTTGACTGTTACCACCGTTCTGGCGTACGATATGTTAACATTGAACTATCTTTCTGTTAACATCGTTTTGTTTATCTGTTAACATCGTATTGTCAAACTCATTCCACTGTTTTGTCTTCCTGTCATCATCGTTCTGTTTTGCTGACACAATCGGATTGTCGTCATCCATCTTAGTGTTTTTATCAGAATAGTCGTTCAGTTTTATCTTTTGATTTTGTTTCTTAAAGAGATAGATTGCTTGAGATGTAGTGTAAATATCATGCTTAAATGAACTGTTATCTAAAGTATGTTAATATCCTATTGTCTTAATGTTTACATAATAATGTCTTACTGTCACCATCGGACTGTCTTCCTGCTACCATCGTACTGTCTTACTGCAAAAATCGAATTGTCGTACTCCATTCTTTGTCAGAGTTATCATACAGTTTTATCTGTAACAGTTGCTTAAGTTTCAACAGGAATACATTATTCTAGGTGTTTTGTAAATATCATATTTAAAATAATATTTATTGTTAACATGTTTCTGCTGCAATTTGTATAAACTCTCTCTTCGTGTATATTTCAAATCGTTAAGACAGCAAATATTTTATGATCATGTGAGTATTTAAAGAAAATACATTAGTTTAAGGCAGGTCCTCTACGGAGCCCCAAAGGTGGCATTTTCGACACTGTTTTCCGGGTAATTAATTAGTCTTTGTAATTACGAAATATTAATTCGTTCATATGAAATATCAATTCGTTTTTACGAGATATTATTTCGTAATTACATAATATTTATTCGTTTTTTACGAAATATTAAATCGTTTCTACGAAATATCATTTCGTATTTACGAAATATTAAATCGTTTTTACGAAATATTAATTCGTTTTTACGAAATATTTATTCGTAATAACGAAATATTAATTCATTATTACGAAATATTAATTTGTATGTACGAAATATTAATTCGTCATTACGAAATATTACTTCGTTTTTACGAAAATTAATTCGCTTTTATTAAATAATAATTCGTTTTTACGAAATATAAATTCGTAATAACGAAATATTAATTCGTTTTTACGAAATCTTATTTAAGGTCATTGTGAGCTTGACAAAGAACCTACTAATTTCACAAAGGGATCATTTACAAGCCTGAATCAACCTTGCGATTATATGCCGAATGGTTCTCAAGTTATTGTATTTATGGAACTGAAGATTTTGAGTGAGAAGTCATTCTCTATCCAAAATGGCCATATATCTATCATGTACATTATTAAAACAAAAGGGGTGAGGGGACTCAAGACTTTCACTAATCTATTCAATTTAAAAAAAGTACATTTCCTTACAATTAATGTATAGGCACCCTGCGATCATAAAAACATAACATTTTATTTCAAAACTTAATAATTTCGACTAAACGAAACAGAAACAAAATATTCGTGTTTGGATTTGAAGCACATTTCGTTTTTACGAATAAATATATCGTAATTTCAAAATAAAATTTCGTAATTACGCAATAACATTTCATAAGAACGAATTAATATTTCGTAATTACGAAATAATTTTTCGTAAAAACGAATTTATATTTCGTAAAAACGAATTAATATTTCGTATTTACGAATTGATATTTCGTAATAATTACGAAATAATATTTCGTAATAAAAAATTAATATTTTGTAAAAACGAATAAATATTTCGTAAAAAACGAATATATGACTCGCAATTAGGAATTATTATTTCGTAATTACGAATTATTATTTTGTAAAAACGGATTTAGTCCCGAGGAAGAAAGTGTGGAAAATATCACCTCACCTTAGGGGCTCCGTATTCCACTTGGAGTGTGTAGTGTGTTTATTTTAGACAAAAAATTATTGTTGTTTTGAAAA